TCTGCAGAGCAGAACTTACCTTCCACAGCAATTATTTTTAGTTAGCGTATAGCTAAAATCTAACCATGGTTATATAATAGCAGCTGCATTCTGACATAAGCTCTATGTTTTATATTCAATTAACTTATGATCCGATTAGTCGACTAATCGAATAAATAATCGGTGATTAATCGATTAGTAAAATAATCGTTTGTGGCAGCCCTAATTACAATTAGAAAAATACTTGGTAATTTTAAAAATCTTCAAAAAATGACTTAAGTGCTGTAACAAGTAAATGTACTCATTTACTACACACCTCTAACTGTACTACACTTGATGTCCTTCCTGTACATGTTCAAAAAGGGTAGTAGAAACCGCACTGCAAATACTGTACAAAAAAGCGACAACTTGTGCATAAACTACCAATATTATATTTTTAGACTTTGAATTTGGTATAGGAGCAAAAAGATGAGATTTTTACTGTATTTATAGATTGAGGATTGGAAAAAATAATGCACAGTACAGCATTTTGACTGAATCAGTGACTTATTTGTTGTTCCTCTTGTTTGTTTGTTTGATTTTTCAGGATTAAGGCCATTGAAAGTGCCACAAAGGATGATGATACAAAATGGCTGACGTACTGGGTGGTGTACGGACTCTTCAGTGTGGCAGAGTTTTTCGCAGACATCTTCCTCTCCTGGTTTCCTTTCTACTATATCGGAAAGGTAATCAAGCTAGCACAGCAGAGAGAGAGTGTTCAGGCTTTGGTGAAAACCATGTCTGGGTCTGAATACGATCTGGATTTTAATAAAGCTGAACATCAAGAACTTTGAATAAAATAGTGACGATAGATCAGTGTTCAGTCTGGATTTTCTCATTTCTTTTGCTTTCTGACAACCAACATGGGAGATTGGGGGGAAAAAATTATTGGATCTTTTGCTACAATATGATTCAGCCTATGTAAGCACTAAAAAATATGAAACCGTTAACAGAACTGTATTTTTTTCACCAAAGCATCCTGTCTGAGGAGCATCTCTGACCCAACTCTTACCACTCTATCATACGGCCACAAAAAGTGTCCGCACTCCTAATTTAGTTTCCAGTTAACCAAGTATCAACATTTCTGAACTGTGGGAAGAGCCTGCAGTAGTGTCACACATGCACAGGTGAAACAGGCCAACACTGCACAGAAAACCCTCAGACCAGCTTTGAACCTGCTATGGAATTAGAGTGTGGTCAGGTCTAAAACAAATCCAACCCGACCCGGCTTCAGTCCACAGACACGGTACCAGAACTGATCCAACTCGACTAATTGCCTCTAATTAGAGAACCGTGCCCAAAGTAGACCCAACATATTTCAATGATGCTTTTGGTGCTTTTGTTTTTAGACCACCATTTGGGTTTTTAAGCAAATAATTGTGACATGATAGTTTAAAAAAAGTATCTCCAGAAAAAAGAGGTATGATTTTGTGTTTATTAAAAAGTCACAAAACGGATGCCTGTCTTTAACTTAGTCTAAATCAGTGGTTCCCAAACGTTTCAGCCTTTGACCCTCAAAATACCAGCAGCAGAGACCTGAGCCCCCAGCTGCTGTTGGATCATAAACATTGTTTTCATGTAAAAAAAAATAATAAGATCATATTAACAATACCCATTATGCTATTTTTGTCCATTTTAAGTAACTAACCTTACTCTTTTGTAACAACAAAGTAAAAAAAGTTACTTTTTTCTAATATCATTAATTCAGAAAATCTTTTCAGGACCTCGCCTTGATGTTTTGGGACCCCATTGTGCGTCCGACCCTAACTTTGGGAACCACTGGTCTAAATAATCAACTCTAAAGACACGCTGTTACATAGATTAACAGAAATATACATACAGTATTTAGAACACAATCATCATCAAATAAAAATGTGGACCAAGTCTATTTAGTTTCAGACCTAAAAGGAATTCGTGTAAAATTTAACCCAAGTCATGCTGATGGACAACTTTAACCACACGACACAAAGTAAAACTGCAGTGTGCATGAAAAAATAAACACAAATTTAGAAGGCCTACATTCTACAACAATGCTTAAGCATATAATGAACAAAATGTTTATAACAAATAACACAGGGGCTGAAAGAACATTAGCCTATTGAAAATAAAGAATTTAGCTTGAATTACAACAACTACAGGACTAATAAAGAACTATAATCAAAAATTATTTCAAGAATTGCACAAACATGAACAATTGCATATAAAGCTGGTTTTGTGGGTTGACTTGGCAGTCATATCAGCCAGCACACACAGTCTTTGGCTGCATGAGCCTGGAAACAAAGTGGGATTTAGTTAGACCCCATATTACCCAACTATGGTTATTAAAGAAGGTGATGTCCACTTACATGATTCTACCTGTGGTCATGTAAGAACATGTCCACTGCTGCAGGTTTGACAGCAGTCACTCTCTGGGTCTGCACCTTACTTTCTTTTGTTCTTTCCTCAACAGTGTAAACTACCCACTTCTCTATTTATTATAATAAGTAGATTAACACAACTTTTGATTGTGCATGCTTGTTAAGTTTTCTCTGTGCTGGTGGGGACAGTTCCACTAATCCTCTAACAACAGAACTAGCTTCTCATTTAGCAGATTAGCTTTTTCGTGAACTTTGGAAGCCGTTAGTGGACTGATTAGTTTCTGCTGAATAGGTTCAGCTAATTTTAAGTCCACAAATAAATGAACAAGTGTAAAACTTCTGTTTGGATGCCATACTGTAATTTCCCTTTGGAATCACTTAAGTGTGTTGAATTGAACTGAGTATATCCAGAATTGAATTATCCACCCCTCTTACAGGTGATGCTGGACATGTCCGACACAGTGTGCCACATGTAGCATCTTTTAGCAGCTAAATTTCAAACAAAGGGTAAAAAAAATTGACAATATATAAATAATAAAAATCTGGTTCTCTAACTAGAAGGAGAGATGATGCAGAATCAGTGATGGCCGTCTTAGTTAGAATTATTATTATTTTTTTCAGTTTAGTGTTAAAGAGATCCCTGATTAGTTGTAACATTAGACTTTATTTAATAAACATATATTTTAACTGTAAAAATACTGTAGGCTGTTTAGTTTTTATCACGTTTAGTTTTTATCATTTTTAAACTAAAAGTTAAAAAATATATTACACGGACGGGGCCATTTTATTTACAGGCAAAGCATTCTGGGTAAATGATGACGTGGATAGGTCCTCGGTGTGAGCTATATCCACCCTGAAGGTTAATCTTGGACAATATCTGATGATCGACTCTTAAATGAAACCAGAGAGCGTTGACAGAGAGGTAGAAATAATTCAGCCTGGAACTGAAAATATGGATGGAGGACAACAGAGCTGCTTCATGGAAGAAGAACCTCAGCTTAGCTTG